GGTTCAATCCCAGTACCCAGAAAAAAAGTTCTGTATGGGTTAAATATTTCAATGTTCACAAAATCCTAAACAAGGATAAAGGTGAAAATATTCATAACATTGAGTTGGTGAAGGATGTCAAGGATGGTGACAGAGAAATAAAGGATTCGATACTAGGATTCTAAGCATGGTAATATGATTCCATGGAAAGCTGAAAATTTTCTGAACGGATGGGTTGCTAAAAATCACCATGAAAACCAGATAGTGGTTCACAACTGTAGTCCCAGCGCCTGGGGAAGTCTGGGAAGAGGATGGCAAGCTTAAGGTGAGCCTGAGAAATTTAGCAAGACTGTCTCAGAATACCAGCGGGTGAAGCCAAGTGTGGTGCACACCTGTGATCAGGCTGTGTAGTGAGTTCCTGAACTACAACGGAAGATCCTGTCAAAATACAAAGAAAAAATTTAAAAGTAAAAAAGGGTGAGCCCTGGGTTCAAAGTCTCTGTGTGCCAAATTCACTGTAAGGCCCTGTATTCAAAGCCTGGTAACAAAACAAAACAAAAAAGCATGCATAGAGCCTTTAAACAACACAAATTGGCAGCTGGGCATAGTGGTACAGGCCTGTAATCCCAGCATGTTGGGAGGCTGAGGCAGGAGGATTGCAAGTTCAAGCCCAGCCTAGGCCATTTAGTGACTTAGCAAGATCCTGTGTCAAGAACAATCATTAAAAAACTATACATATATGTGAGACTGAGGATGCAGCTCAGTGCAGAGGTGCTGGTTTCAGTTCCCTATACAGTAAAGAAAAGTTGGAAAGTTGGTAGAAGACAAAAGGATTAGTCTCCCTAAGTTCATGAATTCACACAAATCAGTGGGGGGCGCCCACTGGCAAAAACAAGGCAAAGGGTACCAAACATCGTTTCACGGATAGAGTTCTGTTTGGGGAGATACAGAAGTTTTGGAGATGGGGGTGATGGTTCTGCACAGCAGTGTAAATGGACTTCCTTCCGATGAACCCTGTACCTTTTTATTTATTTCTCCATTTATTTATTTTTTGTGGTACTACGGATTGAGCTTGGGGCCTTAGTAAGTGGCCGAATTGCTCAGGCTGAGCTCAGATTTGTGATCCTCCTGCCTCAGCCTCCCCCGAGTGCTTGAACTAGAGGTGAGGGTCACCATTCCAGGTTTGGCTTAATGGTTAAAATGGAAGCTTTATGTATATTTTTCCATGATAAAAAGTTATGAAAATTTGTGAAGATTTTTTTCTGATTTTTCCCCATAAATGTGTGACACTAGCACCGAGCCCGTCTAGTTTTTGAATTAATTACTAAGTGTCCACACTTGAATCTTAACGGTTGTGGCCATAGATGTCTGAAGCAGGGCAGGAAGGAAAGAAAAATAGAGAACAGGCCCTGCCCTTGAAGTCCTCCGGCCGCTCACGGGGACGGGATGCACGTGTGTGTGACCCGTACAGTGGGCACCCTGTTCCGAGTCCTGCCAGAAGTGACCGCAGAGGTGACCTGCACGCGGCCAGGGCGGCCGATTCCCGGCCCCGGAGTCCTCTGCATCCCACCACACCCGGCACCCCTCGGGGAGCTTGGGGACGTCTCGGCTTTCGGGTGGGAGGCCAGGCCTGGCCGCTGACCTGCACCTCCATCGAGGGCCTGGCGACGGCTGCTGCTGTCACTCAGTCACAGGACGGGGCTCGGCGCAGGGCTGCCGGGCCGGCACTCGCAGGCTCTAACCCGTCATTTGCTCCTAAGCAAACTCGTATTGAGTCATTTGAAAACTGCAATGTGTGATGATGAACTTAATATCACATTCGCAGCCTGAAGCTGGATTCTCTCCTGTTTCTCCGGGAAGTGGAGGGCTGGTCCCAGTCCCAGAGTGCTCCCCCAGGCCTCTGGCCTTGGCCGCCCCGGCCCTCCCACTGCAGCCCGCGCCCATGGCGGGCGCAGAGCCTCTTTCCGACCGACGCCCTAAGAGGCCAGAGTTTTGAAACCAAAAAGTCAGTCACAGTCTTGTGATTTCTCTCTCGTGCTTCCCGGTGGTTTGAACAGAGAGAGGACTCTCAGAGACCCGGTGAGGAGCTGCACAGCCGTGGGCAGGCCAGGGAGGACATCCCGGAGGCAGAGGCGACCAGGGCCGCTCAGGGATGGGGAGCATCTGTCACTAGCCTCCTTACTCTGCCAGGTACTGAACAACATGTGTGAGCCAGTTCTCCCCCAGATGGTCACCCCCAGGGCTAGGATGATCCCCACTTGACAGGCAAGAGACGGGCTCCCAGCGCGCAGGGCCTCGCCCGGACCCCGCAGCGGCCCGTGCATCCGCGCTGTGCCACTGGCCTAGAGCAGGGCAGGCGGACACGCGTCGGGGCAAGGTGCGGGCTGGCGGTGCACTCGCCACATGATGGCCAGGGAGAGCCGCTGTCGCCGGGCACTGGGCAAGGGACGGATGTGTTGGTGACACTGACAGTCAGAGCCGGGCCACGTGGGCCTTCAGAGGGTGTTTGAAAACTCAGGCCTCCCTCGGACAGCTTCAGCATGCAGGCGCCAGAGACAGAAGAAAAAGGTTACTTCTCTTACGAAAACCTCGGTGCACTCAGCCTCGACAGACGTGCATGAGCTGGTGTGGCAGCCCAGGGCTGCGGTCCCAGCACGCAGGAGGCTGAGGCCAGCCTGGGCTCCGTAGTGAGTCCCTGTCTCAAAAACCACAAAAAACAGGCCCTTCCATCCAGACCAAAAGAACTAGAAGTCTCATTTCACAAATTACATGGTGAAGGTGAGCATGAGAGACTTTTATTTTTGTCTTCATTTTTGGAGGTAGCAGGCTCATGTATAGCCCTAACTGGTGTCAAACTTGTGATCCTCCTGCCTCAGCCTCCCGAGTCCTGGGGTTATGGGGCTGCATGCCTAGATTTGGAAGAGCCTCCTAAGTACTGTAAGCAGAGAACATACTGCTTTTCCATCTGGACCTCGTAGTCCAAAGCCCTCAGCTGCCGCGCATGCCCAGTGTGTGGCCTGTTTTCCCTGGGAAGCCCGCCTTTGCTCCATGCAACTTTTTACCAGACCACAAGGTCCAGCTGAGCCTCCACCGACAGCCACACAGGGCGGAAGTAAGGGAACTGGGGACACCGGATGTGGAAACCCCACCCACCAACGTGGGCACATCCACACTGACGTGTGCGGATCCAAATCATATACTCTCCTGGCACAGTTTTGGTTACGACACCCAAAAAGAGGACATCCAGAAGCTGGAAGGTAGATGCCAAGCCAACGTCCAGCAGCGCCACAGCAGAGGGACGCCCTTGAGTCAGTGACCTAAGCGGCCCATGGCAAGTGGCTAAGGCCACCCAGCCCAGGGCCAGGGTCTTTGTCAGTTTCAAACAGCAGTAACAGCTCTGGGGTCGTGAGCAGCGTTCCTCAGCCTCCCTGGCCTCCTGTGTCCATCTGGAAATCATGCCCTGGGCGCAGTTAGTTTATATACGGTGACTTGGGTGGGCCCCGCCGTATGGCAACTGCTCAGTTATTACTGTTCAGTTATTAAATTCCCAAAGACATAACATTCCAATTCACTGTCTTTTTATTTTTTATTTTATTTTTTGGAGACGGGGTCCAGGCTGGTCTTGAAATAACAGCAGTCCTCCTGCCTCGGCCTTCTAAGTGCTAGGATCACAGGCATGTGGCACATGCCCAGCTCCATTCAGCCTTGCAGCACCCCTGCAGGTGCAGCTGTGGAGGAGTCCCCAAGTGTCCCTTCTTCCTTGGGAAGGCCAACAATAAGCTCCCAGGTTCCTTTTCTTTGAAACAAGCTACGTGACGAGCTCACAGACGCAAGCTAAAGTTTCCCTCCAAAAACAGAGCAAGAGGACATCAGCTGATACAGATTCCTTCTGTAGAAGTTTAGGTTAGGTCATCACTGGCTCCTCACTGAAACGGGGAGCCATGGTGTTTGTCACTGACCTTTGACACTGACCCCAAGGACGGTCACTGCAGCCTCTCTGCACCCTTGAGTTTCTCTGCCAGTGACGATCACTGTGCTTAATGAACCGCCGCTCCGAGGAGGTGTGACAGTCTTTGTTCTTCCGCGGTTACGCACTTCATGGTCACATCTGAAAACGCTGAGACCCTTGAAGTTTGTAAGAGGCTGAGATGCATTAGGTCCAGTCGTAACGCAGCTGGCTCTGCCCCGCTTCAGGGTGTGCAGGCGACTGCACAAGCTCCTCTGTGTCCCGTTAGCTGTGAGGTAGCGGGTAGCTGGGAGACAGGTGAACACTAGGTCAGGCAGAAACCCGAAGCTTGGGAGGTTCACAGCTATGAAATAGTAGGAATGTGAGCCAGGTATAGTAGCGCACGCCCGTAATCCCAGCACTCAGGAGGCGGAGACAGGAGGATCTCTGAGAGTAGGAGGCAGCTTGGGCTACATCGTTCAAGGGCATCCTGAACTACATAGGAGACCCTCTTCCCAAAATCCCCATGATAATAAAAAATAAGTACTAGGGATTCTTGCGACTTGTGGTTGCATGCCAGGTTCTCTCAGGGATGAGTGGAGAGAGAGGGCAGGCAGGAGTGGAACTGCGAGGCGCGTAGGAGGGAGAGGGAAAACCGAGGGCGGCCAGGCTGCGGGGGGGCCCTGTCACTCGCCTCTGGCTCAGAACCCTCCCAACGGAACTGGCCGAAGAGCCGAGGGGGCAGCCCAGCAGGCGGGCGCAGGGGCACAGGGACCCCAGGCTGCTGAGCCCAAGCACAAGGCGGGGCGCGGGCTCCTGGAGGCCACTGGGTCTCTGAAAGAGGAGAGGCCAGGAGCAGATCTGCGTGCTGTGGCGGGGTCCCTGCCCGCAGAGCCACGCAGGCCCACACTCAGCCCGCTTCCCGGAGGAGGAAGCGCACGGGCTTCTCGGGGCAGCCCGAGAGGTCTGGGGTGCCCGCCTCGGCCTGGGCGCAGTCCCGCCTCCCTCGCAGGCAGACCTGGCCATGGATCGAGCCCTGGCCAGCGGGGCTGAGTGGATACGCGATCCCTCCCTTCCCCGCATGCTGAGAGACTAGGGGGACAGCAGGTGGACGGAGGAAGCCTGGCCAGGCGGCCCCTGCCTGTCATCCCAGCACTGTGGGTGGGGACGCTGAGGCAGGAGGGTCGGAAGTTCAGGCCCAGCCTGGGTAATTTAGCAATTTAGCAAGACCCTGGCAAAAACATAGTATCAAAAACGGGCTGGGATATAGCTCAGTGGGAAGGCGCGGGGCTCCGTGCGCGGTGCTGCGGTGGTGCTGACGGCAAAGGCTGGCGGTGCGTGGTTCCCTCCTCACGTGTCGTTCTCGGGAGCACTGCGTTTGGGGGAGTCCCTCACGCACTTCTCACACTCCACTTTTCATCTGCTCCTCAGCCCACCCGCTAGGGGCCGTCAGCGGGACCCCAGGACGTCAGGGGCAGCATCCCCTCACCCCTCCTTGAGGTGAGAGCCAGGTGCTAAGGCCGGCCTCCGCCAGCCCCATGGTACATCCAGGACCCAGAGCCTCAAGCAGAGGTATTGAGATGCCACCCGGCGCCCCGCCCTCTTCCTGCTGCGTTCAGGCCGTGCCCCCCGCCCTTGCCCAGCCCAGCTCGAGTCCAGGTGGACTCAGACTGCCCCGCACCGCCTGGTCTCCTCCTCCCGGCCTCAGTTGAGCCCCGTTTATTCCCCAGGCATGTGTTCCCACGTGGGTGCGTGTGTGCACCCACACGAACATGCTGCAGTGCGCTAGACCACCCGAAGAGCTCGCTGCCAGGGCACCCTTCCCTGCACGTGAATCTGCTCACGGCCTCTCCTGTTTCAGAGAGCCAGTGACCTCTACCCCTCCCAGGGCAGTGTGGCCCCCAAGAGTCCCGCGCCCGGGCTTAGCAGCCTGGTGCCCCTGTGCCCCTGGCTCTGCCTGCTGGGCTGCCCCCTCTTGGCTCTTGGCCAGTTCTTGTTTTAGGAACTGTTTGAAGCCTTCATGTTTTAGCACAAGAATTACCTTCCTCATGAAATCGTTTGATGCTTTTTTTCCCCCAGCACCAACTGTATTGCTTTATAATGGTTATTACAGTTTACCATCATTATTCACAATTTTGTCCTTTGTACTAGATGATAAACTCAAGGACAGTCTCTCTGACCATCTATGTATCACACTGGGATACTTTTTGGTACATAGTAGGTGCTTAATAGGCGACTGTCAGCTGAATGCATGCATGAATGCGTGAATGAATGAGGGGGCATGGTGTGATGTCCGTAAGGCTCCAATATTGGCCCAAGTGTCGTCCTAGAATGGTGCTGGCCAGTCTGCAGTCCATGTGCTGCGGGTTCACCATCACTGTTCAGCACAAGCACAGTAAACGTCTCAATATCCCACCTCCAGGTTACCCAAAGTTAGAAAACAGAGACACGGGCTATCTTGAAATATTTTTTAATGTTTTAAAATTTAGTGCACACAGTACATGTTTTAACCAGAAGACAAAAATGTATATATGGTACTTAATAAAGTTTCCATTACAAAAGAAGACCACGTTAGGAAACATCCAAAGTAGAAGTGAAGCTAAAGACTAAATAAACCATGTGCTAAGGGAGATGATGTAAAAATCCTCATAAATGTAGCTTCCTGAATCCAGACTTGAGACAGATTTTGCCACTTAAAAAAAAAAATCAGAATGCCCTTCATGTTAAACACACTTAAAAAAAAAAAAAAAAAACTTTGCACATTGCTTTCCTGCAGGCGGCTGCAGTATAATCAAGTATATCAATGAGTATCGACTGGATTCCAAGCTGATAATAAAAGGCTACGCCAACTGCTAAGCACACAGCTCACCTCCGGCAGCGACACAGAACGCCATGCACCTGTGCCTCGCCTGTCTGGCCGGACGTCCCCCCCTGTGCCCCGGGAAGCACACTGAGCCGGCGGGGCTGTGGGCGCTGGGACCAGCAGCCTTTAGCACAGGCTGCGTGATGTCTGAACCCCGGAAGGCGGCAGCGAGACCGCAGGGGGGACGGGATGGGCACAGCGGCGGTGCGCTTCGCGGTGAATGCACACGGCTGCTCCCGTGGACAGGGTGGCTGGCGTGGGTCCTGAGCATTTTGGGAGAAAAAAACTGAAATTCACAATTTCCTGAAAATTTGGCAGGTCCTCCAAAATGCAAAGATGAGAATTTACTGCCTGGAACAGTGAATTAGCACCATCCTGGAGGTGGGGAGAGACGCTCGCGTGCACTCTTACCTCCTGGCCACGCTTCGCCACCCAATGGCTGATGGTCCCGGGCCCTTCGGAAGCAAACAGCCCCCCGTGCGTTTCGTGCAGCTGAAGCACTTTCTAGACCAAGGGGCACCAAACCAGGACTCAACGCTCAGGATGGCAAACGAAGAGTCCACTCAGAAGAGCGGCGCAGTCATGGCAGGGTCAGCACAAAAGGCATTTGCTGGTTAGGTTACATGGTTAGGACACCCAGAGTTTGAATGTGGGGTTTTTTTTTTTTCTATGTTTTTTTGTGTGTATGTGTCTGAGGTTTGTAGTTCAGGCTGGCCTTGAACCACTGTGTAGCCCAGACTGGTTTCAAACTTGAGGCAATCCTCCTGCCTCAGCCCCCAAAATGCTGGGATTACAGGCATGCGCCACCATGCCTGGCTTTCAACTTTCTTTTTTTTTTTTTTTTTTTTTTTGGCTTTCAACTTTCAACCCTGAAGGAGTTATACTCAAGTTCAAAATCATTTGATAGGATTAGTAATAAACGAGGAAAGCCTCTTGCAGGCTGAAAGTACAAGCCAAATACAAATGTTGAAGAAGACCCAAGTATTATGTAGGTAATATAATTACAAATTCCTCTGTCTGTTAAAAATGTCTGTTTTAAACTTGAAAAAGATGTGCAAATGGAGTCTGTGTGACCTGATGTGTCTTGTGACCTAACATTGCCAGAGCACACAGACCCAAGCCTGTACCAGGCCAGTACTGAGACCACGCTGGGTCTGTAATGCCACCATGAAAGTGACGGGCGTCTGCGTGCTGGGCACCATCTCCGCCCTGGCACCAGCTCGTCTTCAGTTGGCCGGGAGCGAGGCGCCCACCTCCTGGCTGGCCTCCGCCCCGAACAGCAGCTTTCGGAGGATATTTGCATAGAACGGTCCGTACACCTGCATGTTCAGGTTCACAAGGTTCACGAATTGAGTCCCCAGCGCTTCCAGCTCTGGCTGAATGACAGTCAGGCCCCCTGGGATGGGGGGCATGGACTTGAGGGGGGCCGGAAGGCAAAGGAGGCTTTTCATGTAGAGCCGGATTCGTTTATCTGAAGGAAAAAGTATTAAAACACATAGTGTTTCAAAACAAGAACAAGGCCGGGGATATAGTTCAGTGGCACAGCGTCTGTCTGGCAAGCATGAGACTGTGAGTTTGATTCCCGGTACCAAAAAAAACCCAAATAAACAAGAACAAGTCATTAGAGTGAGCCGTTTGCATCAACAGCCCAGTTCCTTGGCGTTCCCAGGTTCCGTCCTCCCTCTCTGCCCACTTTTGCTGCACTTGCTGGTGATGACCACGCTAACGAGGGGAGACAGAGTCTTCTAGCTGACCCCGGCCCAGATCCACCTGCCACCAGCCAACTCGCACATGCTTGCAAGAGCCAAGGTTGGGATGCGCAGGGCCACTGACTCAAGCCACTGCTGGCCACAGGTGCAGAAGGAAGTCCACCAACACCAAAAGATCTTCCTGACTGCACCCATAGGCTTGTGAGGAGCAAGAGATTATTTGTTTTTAAACTCCAGCATGTGGGGACACTCGTTACACAGCAGCAGCTCACTGAGTTACCCATACAGAGCCCTTGTGAGGGAGCTCTGGCCCGAGTTCATCCTTAACATCCCAAATGCCATTGGGCACACTGAGGCTCAGCCCTGAGAGTAGCCAGTCTGTGGTCAGGTTGTGTGTGTGTGTGTGTGTGTGTGTGTGTGTGTGTGTGTGTGTGTATGTGTTTGGTGGTATTTGCTTAAAAACAAGCCATTTAAAAACCAAAGAACTTCACATAGAAATTCAGGATTTTGTTCTTTTGGAGAAACCTAGAGATCTGTCAAATGCAGGTGGTGGAGTCCAAACCACAGGGCAAGGTGGCCCCACAGCTAGGTTTGCTCACGGTCACAGTTCCTGCCTGCTGTTCTGCCACAATTTTTAAAAAGCACTCTCATGGGTGTCCTACTGAGACAGTCAACGGTACAATCTCCCTGCACGGGGCCACCTCCAGCCCAGGGCGGCTGCACACAAGCACACAGGCACTGTCACCGGGGCGATGGTGGGACAGCACACAAGTGTCCGGCCAAGCTGACTGCTGCTCATGGGCCCCAAGTCTCTCTCTAGCTCCGGAAACAAAATCCTCACAAATAAGAGTTGTCTGTGAAGAGTACAGAGCAGTGACCTTGGACAAGGGCAGGAGAATAAAACGCTGATCGTGGAACACTTCTCCCGGAAGCCACACGCCATGTGTCAGGCAGAACTGTCTCCTAAGGCACCCTTCCACCTGATCTCTCAGGGTCGGACATCCCTTTGGCTTAGGCTGAAGACCTCCCGCTGTGGTTCCGGTTCTGCGGCACCTGCGGGCAGACCGGCTTGCCTCAGCCCTGCCGTTTAGCCTGCGAGCTCTCCCAGGGCTCGGGCCCCGTCTCGCTGTCTTTATATCCCTGGCCTGGCGTGCGGTGGGCCCATCACAGATGCAGCTGAGTCTCAGGAAGGAGAACTTTGCATCCGTAAGTAATTTTTACCTGACTCTTCTATCTATCTATCTATCTATCTATCTATCTATCTATCTATCTATCTATCTATCTTTTTGAGACAGGGTGTCACTGAATTATAGTCCAGGGTGGTCTTGAACTCACTATATGGCCCAGACTAACCTCGAACTCACGGCAATCCTCCTGCCTCAGCCTCCCAAGTGCTGGGATTACACACGTGTGCTACCACACCCAGCTCTAGCTCTTGTGTACATGTGGAAAAAATTGGTTTGAAAGAAAATTTTTCAAATTATCTTGCTTTGTTTTTGAGGCAGGGTCTTGCTATGTAGTTTAAGCTGGTCTTGAGCTCATGGTATAGCGTGGCTCTAATTCTTCTTTCAAAATGGTGATGAACACAGTGGGGAGTATAATCCCTTTGCTAAGTAAGTAGCACATCAAGCCTGGTGTGGTAGGACACACCTCTAATCCCAGCACTCCAGGAGGAAGAGGCAGGAAGATTGCAAATTTAGGCCCAGCTTGGACAATTTAGCAACTGAATGAGACCCTGTCTCAAAATAAAAAATGAAACTAAGGCTGAGGATATAGCTTAGTGTGAAGGCCTGGGTTCAACCCCAGGAGTGCTGAGATGGATAGCCGGATAAGAGTAGATAGCCATCACCTAAGAGCACAAGAAGGCAGACAGGCTGCAGGTGCCCTGTACGGGAGAGAACCCTCAGCCAGGCCTGGCCACGTCTTGCCCATATCCCTGATCTTTCTAAGCACTGAATTTATCCCAGGTTCTCTGCACGCAGAAAATCCAGAAGCGATCTGCCTGCTCAGCTTCCCTCGCACCTGCTTCCCACACCCTCACAGGTGGGTCTGTGTCATCACAGCGGCAGTCCACATGCAGCCGGCTACGATGCCCTTGCAACACTGTCCCTGTGCCAACAGCGCCAACAGCACACCTCGTCCTGCCTCTGCGGGTGCCAGGCCCGCTAGGGCGAAGGGCGCTGGCTCGGGGCCCCGGGAGACTGGCAGGCAGTGTCACTTTCCCAAGGGCCACTCACTGCCTGAGGCGTTGAAGACTGCAGGTGCAAGATCACCCCACGACACATCCAGGGAGGAAGCGGACACTTAGACCTTTTGCAGTGGGAACATGTATTCCCATGGCTAACATTTGGCCCCCAAAAGCAGGTGTGGGCTGAGTATCCACTACCCAAATGCCTGGGATCAGAAGTGCTTCCAACTGCAGGTTTTTTGTTGTGTTTTGTTTGTGGGGGGAACATTTATATGAACTTCACCAGTTGCGCATCCCTAATCTGAAAAACTGAATTCCAAAATGCTCCAACACCCACTTTAAGTCATGGGTCTAAGACTAAGAGATGATTGACACCGTTAGTTATAAAACCAGCAAGTTAAAGCGAATTGGAGTTAAAGCAGAAGCCGGTGGATATGAGGACTCACCAATCAAGGAGCGGATGGGATTGTTCTCCTCCTTGAGGCTGGAAAATTGACCTACGAGATTATCTTGAACCTCAGCACCCAAAGCTGGGAAGCTTCTGTCTGCCAGCGCCCTGTTCAGCTCAGCACAAGTCTGGACACCAATGGAACACAACGCGTCCTGCAGATTAAAGGTCCTACAAAACAGCACACAGAACCCATCAGGAACAGTTCTTGTTCTTTGGTTTTTGTTTTGCTTTGAAAGATGCCAACTTATTTGTGATATCGACCAACTTTCTCTTCTACCAACAATAATTACTTCCATTAGAATAAATACAGAAAATAGTAACTCTTTCCAAGCACCAGCCATAACATGGAACAGAATTTAAACTGCTTAAAACCACACAACAGTGCAAGCCTGGGCAGAAGAACTCAGCCCTTGAAAATAAGTCTGCAAGCTCTGCGCAGTGGCAGTATTGTAGCCAATGAGGTTTATCCAAGGTGCGATTATTGCTAATTGAAAATAAGTCTGCTACCCCATAGACACGCAGGCTGTCAGCGATGGACAGAAAATACCAATCCACTCCTCAAAGTAAATCTGTAGCCTGAAGTGACCCATTCATACATTTTATTTTAATGTGCTTGGACAATGAAGTAGAATTGATTCATTTTTCTTCCCTTGAGCAGTCAATCTGTAGCATCAATCAAACACGACGGATGCGGATATTTAGAGATCAAAGTACCTAAAACTCTGCACTGGTCAATGAATCTCACTCATCATTATGTTCAAGTAACTGATGAATGATACCAAATACACAGGATCCAGAAACCTGAGCCAGGCTGGTGGCACACCCCTGTAATCTCAGCACTCAAGAGGCTGAGGCAGGAGGATCTTTGCGAGTTCGAGGCCAACCTGGGCTACAAAGTGAGCTCAAGGCCAGCTTGAACTGTGTCAAAAAGATGAAACAAACAACAAAAAAGAAACATTGTGAATAGCACCCAAGGGGTGGGTTCCTTAATGGGTAAGGAAAAGCGGTCCCTAAGGCACTGTTGGAGCTACGATTTTAAGGAACGATGATGACAAATTGTACCCCAATACCTGGAGAGGGCCTCTAAGATGAATCTCTGTGTGAATGGGAGTTAAAGGAAGAGCAGCGGTGGGATGGAGTGAACGGGAGCGCACACAGGCTGTCAGGCAGACTGGGTTTCAAATCCCGGCTCTGCCTCTGAGCCTGCCGCATCCCTAAGCTGGCTCTTAGCAAATGCTCAAGTGTGCAGTGAGCGCTAATAGGGACGCACAGGAAGGATGCTGTTCCCGCCACCGAACTGCAAGGTCAAGTCCTCCGCTTCCGCCTGACTTCGGGCTTCCACAGTCCAAGGGGAGGCAACGCCCAATTTCACCTCCTGAATTCTTAGCCACTACGAAGTCCTGGCTGAGCTTTGTCCAGCTTTCAACCAGTGAGCGCCCGGGTTAAAGGAGAGATTAAATGTCAGCATAAGCCACGGCTGCTGTCCACAACGAAGGCGAGGCTTGCTCATTTCCACCGCTCAGTGTCCAACCCACCAACAGGACAACAAGGGCTACGGGCTACTTGGAAATCATCTGCCTGTTATGAATCACCCTATCACTTCCGAGGATAACCGAGAACAGATTGTGCTCATTTCCTAAGAAAAGAGAAAAAAAATTAAAGATCCAGGTGAACAACCAGATAAAACTGGGAAGAAGGTGATTTCACCACACTCATCGAGCACACGCGCCGTGCCAGACACTGCACTCGCGTTTCACACGGATCTCTTCCGGTCCGACCCCGCCAAGGTGGGTGTATTATCAGTCCCCTTTCACAGGTGAGAAAGTGAAGCTCAGAGTGATCCGGGAACTTGTTTAAAAAATAAATAAGACAGAGCCGGGTGTGACGGCACACTCGGGGTGAGGACACGCTAAGACCGAGGGCTCCAGGAACACGCGTGACTGCATAGGGCAGGTCAGCACCGGCACTGGGGAGCCCAGCCAGGCCGGAGAGAGGCAGGCGGGGCTCAGGCTTCTGCTCGTCCTTTCCAGCTGTGCAGCCCAAGGTCTAGCCTTTTTCTGAGCTTCAGCTCAAAATGAGACCTTGGGTTTTTTGTTTGTTTGTTTTTGTTTTTTATTTTTGTTTGAGACAAGGGCTCACTAGGTAGTTCAGGCTGGCCTCGAACTCAAGGCAATTCTCCTGCCTCAGCCTCCTGAATGCTGCAAATATAGGCGGGCACCACCATGCCCGGCTCCTGTTCTAAACTTTTATCCAATAAACTATGTGCTTGCTGATGCAGGGCAGGGGCATCTCCCCCGCTTGACAGCACAGCGGATACAGCCCTGCAGTAGCTCCAGCAGGATGTGCTGCCCCACGTAAAACCCAGGTGAACATGTGGCCGCGGACCAAGCTGGCATGCTCTGACCTGGACAGGATTTCAGCCAATGACCTAAATACGAAAGCTAAGCAGGACTCTAGGGAGCAATGAAAAGTGCGATACTAGATGTGAGTTTAGCAACATCAAGGGTTTCCCTACACGCGCGTCCCATGTTTGAAGGACAGAGCCGTCACCCTTCCTGAAGACTTCCTCACCAGCTGGACTGCTGAAGCCAGCACATGTCACACTGCAGAAAAATGAGGCCATCGGACAACTGCACCTGGAAAGCCCTCTGCGGTAGTTCGATTCTTGAACACTAGGCTGGGTGCATTTCCAGGTTTTGTTTGTTTTTTCCATAGTTCTGTCGAAGAAATTTTTTTTTTTTTAGACAGTCTGGCCTTGAACTTACTATGTAGCCCAGGCTGGCCATGAACTCTCAGTGATCTTCCTGCCTCAGCCTCTTGAGTACTAGGATTATAGGCGTGCTCCCAGACCAGGTGGTCACAGTCCTGAATCTACACCAATCACAGGTGGAAACTCTACCCTCATTCTGGCGATTGTAGTGGAAAATGCCTCCCCCTTTCTAGGCCTTCAGAGGTATTAAAAGATATTGTAGAAAAAGGAAATGCAGGGCAGCTTTCTCCGGATACACAGACGTCCAAGGTCACTCTTGTGCAGAATACGTGGGTCCTGGTGCACAGGAAACAGACACAAACGCGCACACTTACTCCCTGTGCATGTCCTCGAGGAGAACGGCGGCCACCCTCTTCCACCTGTGCTCCAGCCCGGGCAGGCCTTCCGTGACGGCGCCCACCGTGCTGCTGGTGATCAGCCATAGGCACGCCATCGTCTTCAGCTGGGGCAGCTTCTCTGCCAGCTCCTGAAGCCGGGCTCCATCTGTCAGGAGTGTCTAGCATGTTCATTTACAACGTAAGAATAGAAAGGGAAGCACAACACCGTGAAAATGTAAAACAAGCAACCTCTCATCCAAGCTCCCATTTTCCTCCGATTCCAGGAGGTCTTTCAACCTCAGGCAAAGCAGAGCCTAAGCACAAAGCCCCCGGGGCAGAGAAGCCTCACCTCGGGTAAGTCTCTCTTCTGGTAATCCCACTCCAACAGCTTCAGGTAACTGTTATTCAGCACCCGCCGCGGGCTCGGGCTTGGCGTGGAGTGATCTTCAGCCCCGGGAGGTAGAGAAAGCAGTTCTTCCTGCACAGATTCTCTTAACCACTCTGTCGTCTGACTGAGGGCATCTGAGGGTGACAAGGCCACGCGTTGGTCCCAGAGCTGATGCCCCTTCGATCTGCACCCCAGATGCTACAGATGCTACAGTGGCGCTGGGCTTGAGGGACAGGATCCAATCACGCCCAGTCCAGGCGCAGAGCCAGCCTGAGAGGTGCCGATCCGGGATCCTGGGCCACCCCCACCCAGAAGGGCTCCTCCTCGTGTCAGCCCCTCGTGGTCCTGCCCTCTCCATCCTAACGTCCTGCCACCACCAACCGCTTCAGTGAGGTCACTGTGAGAAATCCAAATAGAACCAAGCACTACATGACTGAGAGTGCTGATGTTTGTAGGCCCTGGGGGATAGCCCTTGAGACAGAGCCTCAAGAAGTTAGTCAGGGTCAGGTAAGATTATGACACTAGTGCCCTTAAAGAGAAGACAGGGACAGCTTCCCCTCTCTCTCCACACACACACCGAACCCAGGGGTTGTAAGAGGTAAGACCAGTCTGAAAGGCAAGAAGCACACTCTCCCCAGCAGTCCCTCAGCAGGCCCCCGGACCTCGGACTTCCCAGCCTCCGCAATGACTGAAACAAGAGTGCCTCACCAGTGGCCTGGTCTGTGGTGTTTTGCTACAGCTGCTGGAACACACCAAGACAAGGAGCCTCTCACATGGCTCAGGTTGCTCAGCACCTGTCCTCATTCCTTTTTATCGCTGAGTAGTACTCCATCATACGGATAGACAGCAGTGTCTATCCGCCCAGCTGCGGGAAGACTTGGGCTGTATCTGATTTGCGGTCGCACACACAAGGCTGCCGTGAACACCCATGTACAGGTTTCTGTATGAATGTGACTTTACATTACTCAGGGGCAGCGAATCAACACTGAGACTGCTAAGCAGCACGCTGAATGTCTGTTGAACAGAAACTGCTGAACTGTTTTCTAGAGTTTTGTCTTCATTTTTACTTTATTTAACTGTTATGTTTATCTAATTTAATATTTAGTAATGGTTATGTTTTCCAGCTCATGAAATTCCTGAAAATGTAGCAAATGGTTCCCAAGCGCACCCCTGGAAGAACCTGCTTCTAAAACGTCAAACAGGAGGACCCAGCGTACGCGAGCAGGGAGCCGCTTGACATGTATTCTGGACAGATCTGACAAGAACATACGCCACCTGCAGGACGGAGGCTGAGCAGCAAGAGAGGGCGAAAAGCGACACTGAACGGGAAGCAGCTGGGGGTGGTGAGGTTTGCGATGCAGGTGAATGAACCCCAATTAAAGCCAAGGCAGGGACTTGTGCACCGTTCTCCCGTGCAGTGAGCGGTTACGAGCGGCTGCATTTACTGCACGAGCCGAGCGACTCTGCTGCCTCACTCACCAGCCGAGAGCCTGGGCCAGGCTACTCAAGGGTCCCTAAATTGCCACATCTGTAGACCGGGAGGTGACTCCAGCATCCCTTCCTGAAGGTGTGGGAAGGATTCCACACACTCGCCCAGGCAGAGCACCTCGACCCACCCCTCACACAGAAGCAGTTGTGGAAGCAGCTCGTCTCACTCTGCAAACGCCTTTGCTTCCCTGTGGCTTGGTTTTGGTCCCTGAAGCTCAGGAGATGCAGGCCCACACCACAGCCGCCTTACTGCTGAAGCTGCCTGAGACGGGGCCTGGAACCCACGGCAGGCTATCTGGGGGAGGGGCTGGAACCAGGGATGACAACTACTATTTATTTATTTATTTATTTTTGGTTTTTCTCAGGTACTGGGAACCGAACTCACGACCTTGCGCTTGCCAGGCAGGCGCTTTTGCCGCTGAGCTAAAACCCCAGCCCCGTCGACTACTATTTAAAGATCAGTTAGCCTGCTAGCTTGAGGGACAGGAGTCCCAGCCGGTCCTGCGACATGAGAGCCCTATGTGTTAGAAGTGGTGTCACCTGGAAAACACATGTGACCCGAGAAGCCGGCGTGACCCAGCATCTGGCCAGGGCTGCCCAGAGGGAGCAGGGTGACAGGTGGCAAGGAAGGGAGGCAGTCCCCGAGCTGGATGGTTCAATGGGGGCATGGGCTGCTGCTAGACTACTCCCCTCCACTCTGCTGAACCTGGGCAACACCCCAGGCTCAACCTGAGCCCTGAGGTTGAAGTAAGAAAAACAAACAGCCCTGAGCGTGCCCTGGAAAATTCCCAAATCCCAAACCAGGATGCACGCATCCCAGACCCTCCTGGTCCCAGACCTTCCTTTCTGTCCTGCCTTCACCTGCAGCTCCCTGACAGTTCATGCATATCCGATGCACATCAAACCTCCAGTTACGACTGAGTGAGCTATGCACAAGCACACGTGTGATACATGAGCTGACAGAACCTCTTTCTGCTCACTCTGAGTGCACTATTGCCTAGTTACATGGTGCTGCTCTTTCCTTCCCATTGCAGGCTGTGTCTAAATCTCTGTCACACACAAGAACCCAGGAACCCACCCAGGACCCCATCGCCCGTGGTAACATTGTTAGGTGCCTAACAGTTACCGCTAGCAGAATCACCTGGACATCAGCTATTCCTGTTGACAAGAACCACACCCCACAGACTCCTGAAGATGCCCCCTAAGTGCTGGCCCCTCGAGTGGGGATCGGCCGTCCAGTTAATGGAAAGGAGATGGGACGAGGAGGTGCCCAGCACCCACCCTGACCAGCTACCACAGCCCAGGGCCCAGCTCCACCAACTGCCTCATGTGCTGACGTCCAAATTCTGCCAGAGCAGGAAGATACCTCCTTAGCCCTCATGGCGAGGATTCCTGGCCTTCAGTGTACCTCTGCCTTGGCACTGGTGACGAGTGGGCTGGAGGATCATTCGCTGTGGGGCCCTGAGCTGTTCATTACAGGACATTTAGCAGCACCTCTGGCCTCCAATGCCAGCAGCACTCCCTGTCCCTGTCCCCCCAGGTCGGGACAACCAAGCGTCTCTAGCCAGGGCTCAGTATCCTGGGGGGCCAAGTCACCCCCAGTGCGAAGTGACTCGGATGACACTTTTATTTCTGTTCACAAGTCCTTGCTCCTCCGTCAGGGGCCCAAGCCTAGCCCAGCAGGCCTGGGTGTGGGGCTCATCTGGCAAAACTCACTTCCTTTTCTGCAGACATCGTTCTGAGGTCCCCATGATAACGCCGGGGTCTGGTGGAATTGACATGCATACTGAGCACAGGTCCAGATTTTTAAGAAATGGCTACACTTCCTCCCCAGACCAGCGCTCGAGGAGGGGCGCTTCATGAGTAGCCGTTTGTGACAGTGAAGCCACATCGCCCCCGATTTCACAACTGCTTCTCCCAGTGGTTCTTGGTCTGTGAGCTCTGTTTATGAAGCTGTGAGAGGCTCACAGCCGTTACTAACAGACACCCCCAGAGGGACGGGAGTCATCAAGGCTGTAAGGACAGCGAGGCCGGGACCAGCCGCCGACGGCGGGGTCAGCTTTTACAGCTGACACCTGAAAGCCCACTTCGCCATCTCAAGCGAAAGCAAGTGTGGGGCTCAATGGCTCTCGGTTCTGATAGACTGTAAAACCACCCGGGGAGCTTTAAAAAAGAAGAGAGTCCCAGGCGCAGGTCCTAGAGGTTCCGATTTCCTCCGTCTGAGATGGGCCTGGCTGTCGGCGCTTAGACACGGCGGGTGGCACGGATGGCGGTGAAAGCGTGCCACACACACCTCAGCCTTCTCTCAGACCTGCCGAGCCCTTCAGCCCCACGTGGGGGCACCCGGCCCGTTTCACATCACACCGAGAGCAAGGCCGGCCCTCGAGGCACTCTGCGGCCTTGCTGCAACACGGACAAGAGCGAGAGCTGGACGGGCACCTCGCCAAGCGCTTGGGACTCCGGGCAGTGGACACGACCCCAGCTCAACAAGCGCAGCCGGGACAGAAACACGAGAACAGACCCGGGGCGCGTGCAGCTGCCTTTCCATGAGCACCGGACTTTCCGCTAGAAAGACGCAGCCGCTTCTGTGCCCGGCAGCGCCTGCCTGTCCTTCTGTCTTTCGGTACCGATTTGCTCTGAGAAGCCGGTTCCTGCATTCCAGCTCCACCTCCTACACTGGGGCTCGGCCAGCTGGGTCCTGCTCCCACCAGCTTTTCAGCCCAGAATGTCCAGGGACACCTGGGTCTGAGGTCACCTTTGCTGACCCCAGGCCGGAGATGGGCTCTCCCCTGCTTTCCCCCGCCCAACGCGTGGCCTGGCACACGGCCTCCAAACTCCTCCTCGGACGCTGTGACCTGCTTGGCCTTCCCTGACTTCCTTTAGGGGCGCAGCTAGAGTCGGCCTCTGCTGCCTGCAGTGTAACCCAGCTCACAGCTCACAGCACAGCACAGGGCCAGGAAACCCAGCGCAAGGAGGGGAAGCCACAGCTGGGGTCAGTTTGGGAGGCCGCCTTCCAGGCCTGGCCCCTCCTGTCTGGAAGCACCTCCGAACTGGGTGGGTCCTCACTCAGCACCAGGTGCTCTCGGCTAAAAGCTGTATAAAAACCTCACCTTAGGCAAAATAAAATACTTCCCTGTAGTCAAGTCAGAAATCTAGGGTACTTCTTTGTATTATTTTTCCAATAAAGTTATAAATAAATATATAAAAATGTACACACAAAAGTCCAACAGTCTGTTGTCCTTCTGTGTGATACTGTGGGGCTCTTATTTTGATATTCAGGCCCAGGGGCCAACTTCTGGCAGAGTGACCTGGGGACACAATCACCAGCTGACAGACTGTCTGTGCTCTGATTTCTTTTGCTGGCCAAAAGGCCCTCTGTGCGTAGCTGGATCTGCTCTACTTTAAAATCTCTAGAATTCAAGGTGAACTGTACAAATGGATCACTAACGCTGGGTTTCCAGGACAGAAGTAATTTGAGATGAGCAAAGTCATAATTCTGCCATATAGAACTGGGGAATTAGCCAAGACTCCAAGCTATCTTTTTTTTTTTTTTTTTTATAGAGACAGGTTCTAACTCTGTAGTACAGGATGGTTTTTAAATGCATTATGTAGCCCAGGCTGAACTCAAACTCAGAGCAATCCTCCTGCCTCAGCCTCCCAAGTACTGGGATTACAGGCTTGCACCTCCATGCCCAGCTAA